CCTCACAAAGATAGCTGTACAAACATGGTGTTATCGTCACCTTGGACACAGGTTGTGAGGTCAGAGGTCATTGTCTGCAGGACTTCAGTGTCTTCAGCTCCAATGAGCAGATCAGGTCCAGGAACAGCCTGAAACTTGCTGAGAACTGCAACACACAGACACACAGTTAAACAACTAAATACACACATAAACCCAACCTAAAAACACGGCTGCTCTCTGATTGGCTACTGCGTCTTCACCTGAGCACTCGTCATCAGTCAGAGGTTTGTTGGTGATGGTCCACTCAAGCTCCGCCCCCTCACTGGTAAAGCACCTCCAACCGCCAGACAGGAAGTCAGGCTGCGCTGACAGGAAGTCCCCTTGCTGTGAACATCGCAGGCCCCGCCTCTCACACTCTGTCACACCTGCCACAGACAGATGAAGTGACTGCTGTTAACGAATATGCTTAAGTTTGTTAAAAACCTTTTATTTTGCTAAACACAGCAACAAAACAAACTGCTTTGTGCAACAAAAGACAATATTTAGGACTCTAGCTTTTTCTAATCATGGTGACGACACAACGGGTCATTTTAATTGTTTACAGACCTGTCAACATCCAGCCCAGCCTGATAGACACCAACAGAAACTAAACCATCAAACTACAGACGTTCTGATGAGCTGCAGTTCATTTCACTTTGTCCCTGCTGAAGCACTCATCCTTGTCAAGTATCATCAATAACGAGTTGTTGCTTTAACACGCTGGACACGAGAAGAACTACTAAGGATTTGTCACCCCATTTTTTGTGAGCACCTTCATTCTGTTGTTTCATTGACTTTGGAGAGGTTAGACTGGTCTGTCATGTTTGTTTGACAGCATTTGTCTCTCAGACTTAACAGACACGTCACACACAGCAGTGTATGTTCCAAGAGTGTTGTGTTTGGTCACTAGCAGTAGGAGTGCACATTAGACTGCAGAGTATGAACCAAATTTGTTTGGCCAAGAAGCTTCTGGTATCCAGGGACTTGACAGACTTGAGACTGGGTCCAGCACAGCACGGTAGAGGAACTTGGGCACTGGGATGTTGACTGAATAAAACAGCAGTCTGAAAACATCAGCTTGGGCTGTGAAA